AGTTTTACAACTTAACCTATATATATATATGAAGAGAACAATAAGGGTATAAGTAGATATGAGTAATTCATGAACTCGAACTGACCCAAACTAACCTAATGAATTTGGATTGAATTTTTTCAGTGTTTGAATCAACTTCGACCCGATCAAAATTTAATATTGTACATATCGCGTAAACCCATCCATTATTGACCCAACCCAATCTAGTAATAATAATAATAATAATAATAATAATAATAATAATAATAATAATAATAATAATAATATTTGAATGATCATTTATTTAGAATAATACTCACTATTACTCTTATTTAGTAATAAGTTTTGTGTTTTAGGTTGATAACATTATAAAAATATTGTATATTTATTTTAATTTTATTTTGTATTTAATTAATGTTAGTTTTTTGAGTTGATAATAATGTAATAAATTAATAAATTTATTTTAAAATTTAATTTGCATCATTGTTTTCTTTATAAGGTGATAATATAGAATTTGTAAAGATGAATCAAATGATTTACATCTATTTTGAAATATTAAGATTTTTACAAAAATAAATAAATATAATTATGTTAACCCGATTAGCCCAATCCAACTCAACATGTTCGTGATTAAGTTGGGTTGGATTGAGTTCTAATTTTTTTCTTTTTTACATAAATTCAACCCAACTCAACTTATTAAATTTTGATCGGGTCAAGTAACGAGTTTATCTAAATCCGGTCTAATCTAACCTACTTACATTCCTAGTGAACAGATAAACAATTACCGTGTAAATTTAATTAATTGGAATAAATAAATATATAATTAAAATTTTTTCTCAAAACATGATTTGGAGGGCAGCTACGTAGCTTAAGTAGATCCATATATTTCATACTATGTATCTTGCAACTACCCAAATATTTTCCATTCTTGGAATATTAAGTCTGACGTAAAATGGACACTGAAATCAAACAATGATGTCATAACTGTCAATTTGGATATATGGCAACAAAATGCAGGAGTGTGAAAATTAAAAAAGGTATATGTAATGTAGTAGCCTAGTAGGCCATGAATAATTAATATATAGGTGTTTTCAATATGGCTGCATTATTAAAAGAGTTAATTATCAACTCATCTTAAAGTTTTTTTACACTGACAACTAATCATATCTTTTAATAATATAATGTTAGTTACTTATTTAATAAAATAAAAATAAAATAAAATAATTTAAAAGATATAATTGATTATTAGTGTAAAAATTTTTACACTGATAATGTATAGATAATTAGCTCTTATTAAAAAAGTTAATTAAAACCATATATTTCAATAAGTTTTTGCTTTAATGCTAAACGTGCGTAAGCAATTGATGGACTTAGGCATCTATTTCACACTTATATTTGTCCAAAAGGAAACACAGAATGTAAATGGTACAAGTGTGCTATTGGCAAAATAAACATCCTCGCTAGTGTCAATAAACCTTATTATATATATACATAACAAGAGGAAAGATACAAAACTAAAACCTATATTAGAATGTTTGGAAACTCAAAGGTAGAGCAAGTAAATGAAAATGTGATATCTTAAGAAAAATGTAACAAACTAAATAACTTTAATTAGTTAAGTTACACATGAATTATACGCGTTTTAATTAAGGTTATTTCTTTGTATGGTAACTGTAATTTTCACCACCTCGGGCAGCGGATCAATCGGATATAATAAGCAAATCATAATATTCAATGTATAAACAAAATGAATATATTTTATATGGTAGATAAATATACAGCTCAATTATTCAATAGCTCGCTGCATGTATTTTTTCAACAAATAAAGGAAAAATACTTATATATATATATATATATATAATATATATATAAT